TCTTCTATACTTGAATGTTATCTCCTTGGGAGCGCTCATGCCCCCTATTTTTGCATCCTTTCTGGAAGGGTCTTCGTTCCTCCGCAGGTATCTATCCTTCCATACCTGGAGGTCATCTTCGTTATAGTATCCACTTCGATCTGTTGTCTTTGGTGCGTCATCTTTCTGGCCGGCGTCTTTAACTCCGTGACTCTGGTCACGAGTTTCTGTGTTGCGGTCGTCCCCTTCAACGTCGAGGTTGATAGGTCTCCCACTCCCAGTAGGAGCGTTGTTTCCAATCTGATCCTTCTGTCTGTCATTAGCCATCTATTCTTCTTTTTTTCATTGGCCATCTATTCTTCTTTCTTTCCCACAGACGGAGCCAAATTGTGTGAGTGATTTTCTGACCACACTGCCCGCTTAGTAACCAGCTGGAGAGCACCGACAGAATAGATGACACCTGGCTGACCTGCAACAGAAAGAGAAGATTCCGGCGGTGGTTCGTCCACCCGGAGGCACTCCGATGATCAAGTCAGTATATCTCTCAAAGATAAATCAAGTGCTAAACTTACAAGCTTGAGTATCAAAAGCATACCTTAGACCCATGGGGGTGCCTCTCTTTTATAGCCAACATAAACATAGTCCCAATAGAAGCCTAACTTCTATGGGCTCAGGATTACTGCTAATCTTGGACTCCCAGTAAGATTAGGATAAACTCTCTAACAGTTTTATCTTAATACAAACTGAAGTCTTCTCTCATTCTAGGACTCTTGCTCCTCATTCGCTTATCTCGGATTCCGATATCTTCGGAGGTAACCTCAGCATAACAACCAGGACACGTGGCACCTCGGCTGACACGTCGGCGTCGCCTTGGCCACGTGTTGGTACTCAGAAAATATATTCCCACACAAATAGATCAATATTGTCAATAACAAAAAAAAAACATACAAACAGATCAACAACAACTAACAATTTACCAGCAAAAGCTTTTCAGATATACTGCTGTTGTACTTGAGAGTTCCAAGGATTTAATAGGTCAAGCGGTGAAGCCAGTGTACATTGTTTGTAGCAGATTCAGGTATAATCTCGCAATAAGTATGATTTGTTCTCCTAGAAATTTCCAACACGGTGCTTCATATCGGTGCTGTGCTAGACCTCTGTGCTCATGTCTTTATCAATTCGTGCCACTTGTACTGCAGCTGCTGAGGCAGTCGCTTCGCATCACGCGTGTTCCTAAAATCCTCACCTATTAAAAGGTGTAAATTGTTCAATTTGATTACTGCAAATGACCAACAATTTTATCAAATAAGCAGAAGAGGTATGCTCTACTTCCCTTTCCATTTCCCAGTTGGTGTTAATTCTTGTTGGTAGTATATCTGTTGCTATTTTTTTGATCTATAGTTATAATTCTTGTTGCTTTTCATTCTGTTCCTCTTGTCTAGCGTGCCCACCATGTGTTCAACGATATGCCGAAATGAAACACACACATAAATTGAAAATAAAAATGTCAAACTTCTTATCCACCATGTACTTTACAATATGGTTAAACAAATAAACACACAAAAAATGACAATCAAAATGGGAAATTATTTTCCCAAATCCAAAAAAAAAAAAAAAGGGCATATCAACAACAACTTCTATTCTAGCAGCAGAATTGTTCGCTTGTGCAAGAGGCTTTCTCGCCGTCATGGTCTCACGCGTAACCCAACATTTATAGTCTGCAGCAGGATCAGCCACCTAGTATATATTTTAAAACTATTTGGAAAAAAAAAATAATGTAGAGGGCTTGCTCTCACCATTAAACTGGATCAATGCCTGACCACTTAACTACTTTTGCCAAGTTTATCAAACAGTCAACACGAAGTACAATCCAAAAACAAACAACCAAATATCACAAACGACAAATGTCACAATAGAGAGGAATCATTCTTAATCTAAGGTTGCTTTTAAAAGCCTCTTGTATTAAATTTTAACTCTCTATTTTTTTTAAATACATTTACTAAGGTTGCTTTTAAAACCTCCTTATATTAAATTTCTTTTAATACATTTACTCTATGTATGAAGAACCATTCTTTATACATTTACTCTATGAGGCATATAATCCTCAATTTTCTTTGGTTCTTTGGTTCTTGGATAGAGAGTAAAATGTCACAAATTCATTGCTGAACAAACTTGTGACACTATCTACAGTGCCTACACGCAAGCAGGTCAGTCATATTCTTAGTTGTTAACAAATTCTCTTCTGCTATTGCCCCTACAGTGTAACTAACACTTTTGTCATTCTTTCACAGTTGACCTAACTCCGCATATCATAGGTCCTCACAAAACCGCCAACATGGATAACACCAACTATACAATGTATAATTCATTACCAAACTACAACAATACCCAATATGACAACCATCATTACGTCTTACAAACTGGAAATCAGCCCACATATCACTCCAGCACACCTAACCAACCACTTATATATCTCCAACCAATTATAACTACTACTCAAACATACTTACAACATCTTATTACAAACCCATACTATTATTACAATTCCAAAGCCTACTACACCTCTCCAAACATCACTATCTCTACACTGGAAAATACTAATAACTAACTATTATCCCAAATTTACTCATCGCACCAAACTTCCACCACATCATCAACTGACTTCACTGAGCAACAGTAGCTTGTATATTGGCAACCACCAAAAGAAGGATGACTCAAATTAAATTTTGATGGTGGAATCTATCCAAACAAAAAAGTTCCAGAACAAGTAGATGCCATTCGCGTAGGAATATTTCAAAACCACGAAGGAATTTGCATTTATGCTTTTGGAGACACAATACCAATGAAATCTGTAGAATATGCTGAAGCATCAACTTTATGTCATGGATTACAAATTGCAGCAGAAAATGAATGGCCAAAGATATGCGTAGAAGGTGATGCAAAATTCTTAATCGAGACAATTCTATACAATACACAAAGATATTATTGTAGCATTGTATGGAAACTCATAGGCAACATCCGAAGAAGAAAACAAAATTTCGAAGATTGTAAAATCACCTTCATTCGTGGAGAACGTAACTCTGCAGTAGATGCATTATGCAACCAAATCAAAGGAAAATATGGGAATTTCAAATACGATAACAAGACTTTACCATGCAAAATTAAAAATATTGTACATCAAGAAAGACAAGGATATATCTATACACATTGTACATAATCACACTAACATAGAGTACTTCTTCTTCTTCTTATATTTTGTAAACAAATTCCCACTGTACACCTACTATAATGTACAATGTCATGAAAAAAAGCTACTATATGGATTGATATAACAAACATATATTTTTTTTTAGGATGCAATCTTATTAGTAATGTGAACTTGCACAAAGTTCCATTTCACTACGTTAGAGTGATTATAAGATGCAATCTTATGACTCATAATAATTATTTTTTATTATGAATATAGTAAGGTTTGGTTATAACCCATAATAGTGTTGAATATGCATCAATTCAACAGTTCAATTTTTTTTTGGGCCCTCCTTTAATCTAACAACAAAAAATTAAGATGCATATAATATGTCCGTCGCAAAAAACAATTCAATCAACAATAATTGCAAGATTTTCTGCATAAATAGTGATCTTCACAAAATAACTCAAAACACAAGTTTATTTTTTGCCTCTCTTTCAAAAAAGCTTTATACCAAAATTACATGAAATAATTCTCTGAATATTTATCAATGATGAAGTAAACCCCAACGCTTGTGCTACAACGAAGGCCTTCTATGTTGCAGTTTAGCCTATGTACCTCACTCTCCCATGGTTACATCTGTGTCAATTCAACAGCTACGTGCATACATGATTTTAAAAAACGTAATTCTTTCTCTTTTAAAACTTTTTATTGGGGAACATAAAAGAGCTTGATAAATAAGGATTAATGAAGAAATATGAAACACCACAACAAATTAAATATAAGATCTAATTACATTTCATTTTCCAAATTCATAAATAAAATATAATTTTAAAAATATTTATATTTAAACTGTCGAACAACCCAACTACTTATTTTAAAAGTATCTAATAATCACTCTCGGCAATGATTGGTGGCCACAAATTCTGTGGTTCAAATGGCCCGAAAATGTCAAAACGACGTCGTTTTGGGTACAAAACAACTCCGAAAATGTCAAAACGACGTCCTTTTGACATTTTTGAACTATTTGAGCTACAGAATTTGTAACTACCAAACATTTTTCAATCACTCTAAGCGTTACTACTACTACTTCAAAAAGAGCCACAATATTTTATTAGTGTGGAGCCATTGCGAAACAAGTAGAGTTAATTTTCCCCACTCAAAGTATTTTAAAAACTTTATTTTTACATGTATAATTTTTAAAAATGCTTTTCAATTTGCCAACTTTTGAAAATTTTGTTGCCACTAAGGCTTAATTTGGGAACATATTTTTTTAGTAATTTTTAGTTATTTAGCTAAAATATGATGCAAAAAAAAAATTTAATATATTTGGAATGATTTTTTGATTTTTTACAAAAAGATATACGAAAAATAAAGAGAAAAATGAATATTTAAAATTTTAATATAGGCCGTTGGTTTTTTTTATTTTTTTAGTAACTTTTTAACTTTTAGGTTAAAAAAATTACTTCCCAAACAAAACCTAAATCTACCCATAAAGTCTTTGCAATCGCTTATTTTATCAATTTTTTGTTGCCATATTAAAGTTTTATTTATTTGTTATTGATATATAGATATTATATCACATTTAGGGCATGTTTGATTGGAAGGATTAAAGCATGGGATTAGGATTATTAATCCGTGGGCCCAATCATCCTATGTTTGTTTTGACATTTTGATTTAGGACTATTAATCCAATGGATAATTAATCCAACAAATTTGTAGGATTATTAGTAATGGGGTAGGGGTGGGATAGTTAATACCACACTAATTTAATAGGATTATTAATACCTCACTATTAGTATTGTGAATCAAACATGACCTTAGGACTTAATCCTTCAAAAGCTAATAACCCATTATTATGCATTGAATTATCATAATCACGTTTTCATGGGATTCTGGATACATCATTGAAGAAACATATTTCCACAACAAACCCATTTCATTTCATCACATAAAAAAATCTTAAAACAGGGCCCAACTACTCTTGATTGATGAAAGAAACAATCTTTTTAATCAGAGCCACAGCATTATCAGATGTGGTGTGGTGCAGATGGAAACAGTGTTCCTCTCCATCATTCTCCGCAATCTCCACCGTCCCTTTCCATCTACTGATCTTCAAATTCTCATAGTAGGCCCTACCTGGCCCACTCAGATGATCTTTCTCAGCCACGAACACCAACACCCTCTCACACCCAAGCCTACCGAGATCCTCTACGCTCGGTTTCATCCTAGTATCATCAAGCCCACTATTTGATGGACACATGTACAACCACATCTTATCATCAAGCTCCACACCACCAAAATACGGGTGGACCAAAAACGCCCCTACTAATCTAATCCCGGGTAACCCAATCGTCCCCGCCCGAAACGCCATCGTATGAGATATATTCCCTCCGGCACTATCTCCACCGACGAACACCTGATTAAAATCCGCGTGGTTGTTTAACCACAGGTCGGGCCCATCACCATTAGCATGAGACCCGATCCATTTGAGCGCAGCCCATGAATCGTCATAACAGGCCGGAATCGGGTGCTCTGGTGCCAGCCTGTACTCGACGGATACGGCAATGACGTGGGCTTCGGCAGCGAGGGTTCGGACGTGGGCGTCGTAGCTGGGGGAAAAGGCGGACATTAAGGAGAATGCGCCGCCGTGGATGTAGAGGAGAACGGGGAGTTTTAGGGTCGGGTCGGATATTCGGGGCGTGAAGATCCGGGCTGAGACTTGGGGATTGTCGGAGATGATGACGTCTTTGGATTGGACGCCGGTGATGGGGTCGACGCCGGTGGGAGGGAGTTTTTGCGGCGGCCAGAGGAATTTTTCAACGCGGCCGCCTTTGTAAACTCGGAAGAAGGGAAACTCGTGGGTCACTTCTTCTGGGTTTGTGGACGCCATGGCTAGGGATTTATGAAGATGAATGAGAATGTGAATTTCTAAGGGAAATGAAGGCAAGTTATATAGATGGCGATAGACAAGTGGACTCTCAACTCAAGAAACACTTTTATATTGTCAAATTTGTGAATGCGTCTCAGATTACCCTAAAATAAAAATAATAAAAAAAAAAATTGTGGATGTGTTTCTGACTAGCTTAATAAAGTTCGTGCAACGGCCATTCTTGTTGCTATAAATGAGCACGAAAGTTCGGTACAACAAATTTTTTTTTTTTTTTAAGCAAAAGATTTTGTTTGTAGATGTACTAGGGTATGTGAAAATATTATTGAAATGAAAACGTAATTGAATATCAAATTATTAAGTCAAAATGTAATTTATTTAATTTGTTGAAAAAAAAATTGAGGTGAAAATATAAATAGATGATCGGTATAATTTTTTGAATGAATTTTATAATTAAATTTTTGAAAAGAGTTTGTCAAACACAAAATTTTATTTGGTTGTATATATTAAAAATAATTTTTACAAATTTAAAATTCAAAACTTACTTAGTTTTGAAATTTTCAAAAATAGTTTTTAAATTTTTAATTTGTATTTTATTATTTTTAGTGAACTTTTTAATATTTTAACCAATATTTTTCACTTTTCAAATTTACTCAATTTAAATATTTTGTAAAATTATAAAATTTAGAGAGATGTAGAAATTAAAAAAAAAATTAGAACCTCCTTGTCTGTGATGCAAACTTAATGATAAACATATGAAAACTGTCCAATTGAATTTAATAATAAATTTTGCTAGAAAATTTTCTTTTTAACAATAAGTAAGTTTCAATAATATCATTGTGATTGATATAGTATTTGAACTCAAATTGTCAATGCAAAAATAGTTATGTTTTTGTTTGTCAAATAGAAATTTGAATGACAAAAAATGGTATTGTCCATGATTAGTAGTGGTGAAGACAATGTGATGGAAATTGCTACAATTTATCAAGAAAATGTAAAAATAGTGATGACACAATTATTATCTTGGCCAAGAAAACGTGAAAATAGTGATGACACAAATGCAAATAAAGATCATATCACTAAATATTTACTATTGTAGTATTTTTGTTTATTTAATCTATCTACAATTTGCAACAGAAAATAAGCACTTTATTACCCTGGCCAATAACAATACCCAAATAAATTTCTATATTCCACGTTTTTTTAGATAATGAGCTTTGGTTAAAATAAGGAAGAGAGATCTCATGGCTATAGTTTTGCATCAATTTTAATCTAATGGTTGAAATCTACCAATTTTTATGGTTTGGCGGTCAATTTACTGTGTAGAAAATTAAATAAATGAAAAAAAATAAATTGCATGCTACTTGATAAATAAATCAATTTAAACATAAATTTTTCAAATTTATAAGTAAACGAAATAGTGAAAAGTAAACACTTAAATGTTATGTAAAATTCAAGCACAGCAAAAGTATAAGATTTTAAACAAACAATAAAATGTAAGTCTCACAACACAGAAACATATAATAAAAATTAGACAAAATATACCATTTAATACTTTGCAATAGAGAAAATAAACAACAAATTAAGCACACCAACCAATGCTCTGTAATACAAAAAAATAATGTCAAATAACAAATTAAGTACACCAGCCAATGTTCTATAATACAAAAATATTGCAAAATAACAAATTAAGCACATCAACCAATATTCTACGATACACAAAAAAAAAAAAAAACCCCAATTAAGCACACCAATCAGTGCTCCACAATAGAAAAAAATAACAAATAAATAAAGTACAAACAAATAGATTAATACGTACACAATCCAATCCTATATGAAAATAAATTATCAACTTAATATAAAAGTAACACCCTTCGTGATAAAAATATATATGGGAGCAAAAAAATCAAATTCAACCGAATAAAAATATGATTAGTTTTCTTTAACTCAATTCAAAAGCATATAAGGAAGAAAAAAACAAAAAACAAAAAAAAGACTATTATCACTTAGTGTGTTACATTTATAAAAACAAACTCATAGCATAAGCCAATAATTCAAATGAAAGGCTTTACAAAACTATTGTAGGCAATAAAATTCATATCAATAGGAAACTTTACAAAATTTAGATCGTAGCTAGCATATGTATGCTTTTTACAAAAATAAATATGATCTTCAAACTTGTTCTTTCTTAGAATTCCTAGGAGCACCTCATCACTTTTCAAAAAGTCTTTGTATCAACTTATATGTATCCCCAGTGAAGAGCATGCATGACAATCTATTAATTTATGAAAATAAAAAAGTTAGTATATTAGTCAAAGAAAATCTATATATATATATATATATATCAAAACACTTTCAAATAGAAATTATCTTGTTACATCCCCATCGAAGCAATCTAGTTGTATTTATCTTTTTGAGCTCCATATTTTTTTTTTAATCTAATCCTACAAAAGTTGACATATATAGTAAAATATTTTAAAAATAACAATTTGTAATCAATAGAAGCAAATTTATCAATAAATAAATTGTACCATTTGACAAAAGTGATTTGATCCAAACGGTGGTCTATAACAAAATTTTAGGAAAAACAATGTTTGTAGTAGAATCTGGCTCACCATTGGGAAGGAGGACACTTATACGATCAAAAGATGTGCATCTAGATAGGGCCACGTACAGTTGCCCATGATTAAACACTGGTGTGCACAAATCAACTCCAACAAATTTCACAGATTGCCCTTGAGATTTATTAATGGCCATGGCATATGCCAATTGAACTGGAAATTGATGTCTTGTCATTGGAAAAATCATTTTCGAAGAAGACGGTGTCAAGGATATCCTTGGTATGAATACCAAATTGTCAAATTTTTTTCTAGTTAAAATTTGAGCTTCAATTATGCGAGTATTGCATCTAGAAACCATCAATTTTGTGCCATTGCATAGTTCATCTTTTTGGTGCAATATTTCTTAATAACATTATAAGGCAGCCCACTTTCAACTCTACCTTAAATGCTGGTAGCCCAGGAGGATCTAATGAATTTAAATATTCATTAGGATATCTATTTATTATAGTGCGATCAATTTCATCATCTTCAGACATCTTGTCTGCTGCCAGATAAGTATATGTGTTACCGAGAAAATAGTATTGATAGCACTGATATCATCATTCCGTGCAGAAAAAATTGTATGTTCAGTTAAACATGTTGCAGTCGATGTCATTGCCACATCTAGTTGCGGATAAACTACTGAGATTATGTCTTTTAGATCTTGACATTTGTGTATTGTTGATGGAAGTTTAACAATTTCTTAAGGATTGGTCCCAATCTATTTATAAAAATAAATAAATAAAATAGTAAGTAAAATCAATTAAAGTATATAAATGTAAATATATTTCGTCAATTTAAACGCACCATATAATAGAGAAAAAGTTCGAAGAAATATTACCTCCATCAAGAATTTTGCAAAATTAGCATTTCCAAGATTTGCATGATTCAAGCGCATGTTCAAATTTAAAGACAGAACATGTATATCCTTTCATAGAAAAGAGTGTTTTAATAACGCATTCACAATTTACTCACGAACTCCTTTGGTTATAACTGGTACGATTTGTTGAAAATCTCCACCAAGAACAACAGTGATACCCTAAATGGCTTTTCACTATCACAAATGTCCCAAAGTGTGCGATCAACTACCTCAACACAATGTCTATGCTGCATAGAAACTTCATCCTAGATTATAAGTTTTGTTTCTCTAAACAATTCTGCTTGTAATGATTGCTTTCTAAATCCACAAATTGAATTTTCCAATACATCCAACGAAATGGAAAATGTTGAATGAGCAATGCGACCTCCTACCAATAACAATGATACAATTCCAGATGAAGCTACAGTAATAACAATAAAGCCAAGGCTGCGACACTTCAATGCAATCGTATTGTACAAACACATTTTCCCTGTTCCGGCACCTCCATTCAAAAAGAAAACAGTTCCTTTATTTTCAAAAACTGAGTAAGTGATTGCATCATTAGCTGTTCATTGATCATTGTTGAGGCGATTAATAATAATTTCTACATCTTCTTGTTGTGCCTCATTATGTAGTTATTGATGTTCGAATATCAACCTGTTACCAACTACTGCACTCCAATTTGTAGAAGGTTGCGACATTGGCGGGAAGTCAATTAAAATTTTTTCTAATTCTTGGAGCATTTGATTCAAAAGATATAGACCATAGTCTTCAATTTGAGCCTTAGTTGGTTTAAAAATGGCAAACAATGCTCGAATCTTATGTACAAGATCAACACATATATGCATTGAAAATTGATTCCATAACGTATATGGTTGTAGTGGAGAGCACTGAGTAAGAATAATAGTAAACAATCTCCTCAATTGATAACTAGTTTTCATAACTACAGCCTCTTTAAAGCATTGTACCCATCCTTCATCATCTTCTAAAAGTCCTCTTACAACACATTCTAGTTTAAACGTGTCATGCAAAACATTGTTGACCGTGTGTAAGCGTTGAAACGATTTTGGTCCTTTGACAACAGTTAATAGCAAACGCAAATAAAATCTCTCACCACAATTAGGGCTAGCAAAATACATTCTACCGATTACATATCCCTGCTGTCTTGGTTTCTATCCCTTTTCTGAATTAAGCCAAACAAAATGTTGTGGAAATTCTTGGTAAGTGAATGGACATTCATATTCCATAGAAGTGCAACATGCAAAAAAAAAAAACAGTAAGAGTTAACATTTGTTGCCCAGCTATAGAAACAATTAGTTTAAATGATTCATCAGGATTAAAAAGAACGCGGTGCATTCCAGGTAAATGAAGTGCTAAGCATACAACTGTTGGTATCTCTGCATGCAATGGATGACCAAATATTCGCCAAGCAGCTTTTGGAGGTTTAATATACCTCGCATCAAGATATTGTTAGATCTAATTTATCAATCCCAACACCATTGTTGTACGATCATAACCCTTGTAAATGTACTTGTATATATACTTAACACATCTCATTCTGGCACAAACTTCCACATTTAGGTGACAGTTGAAACGTTTAGAATGATATGCATTGTATGGTACGATGTCTCTG